AAGGTATTTTCAACATATGTGTGCCCAACCATTCTCCCCATCATTGCATAAGCTCTAGGGAGTGTAGTCCTCGATCCTCGGGCCACCAATCACGCATCCCGATGCATGATGGCCGAGGAGTCGAATTGCATGACTCAATGGGTCATGAATGCACATGTAAACACCTAAAGCCAACAACTCTATCATGGATAGTCAAGAGTGTCGGTGACCAAGAATTGAGGCACGTTTCGTCACTTTGAGTATGAAACATCCCTCGTTTCCCGTGTTCGGACTAAACCCTACTCCAAACACAATGCAACAAACAATGTATGGACAAATGCAACTCTAGCATGCGATCTAAATGCAATGCAACTAAGTGATGCGAAGATGCACGAAATGACATGCAAGCATGCAAATGGCATATGCAATGCTATGAACTGATCAATGGCATACTCAATACACATGGATTATATGGCATGTATACACAATGTACTAACATACGCAATGTTATGAACGAGGCAAACACAATGCAATGATCAAACATGCGATAACATGGACTATCGGGCATACACAATACAAGATGGACTTAAACCAAGATGGATGGGCCTTGGCCACACCCAAATCAGTGGCCGATATGATGAAAATGAGGCAACAAGATACATGCAAACATGCACAAATGCAAGGGACCAAACCTAAGGAACAAAGTGCAACTCTACCAAAGCATGACAAGGATGAAATATGGCATACAATGACACATGTTCCAGCTCTGAAATGACATACAAGTGGTCCCGAATCATGCAAACAACTCACCCGATGCATGTTGGATAGCACAATTACCGAAACTAGTGAAGTGCATTATACTAGAGGTATGCAAAGCGATGCCCAAATCACCAAACCAACCCCAAATAATCCCTATGCAGACCCAAAATAGTGGCAAAATGGACTAAAATGATGGCTTGCAATGCACAAAAATGAAGCTCATGCAATAGCCCAAAAATGAGGCATACAAGCACAACTCTCAAACGCATTTAAAGAGTGAAAAACATGGGAATATGGCACAAGTATAAGCTCTGAAATAACATGTTCAATGATGCCAAAGCATGAAAACAACTCAAGTTAAGCATGCAAGAGGCTTCAAAACTCGAAGCTAGGCAAGGGTATTACACTACAAGCATGCATGGCAAGCATCATTCGACCATGGGACCTCAAAACAGAACTAAGGCAGCCCAAATCATGAATAAAATCAGTTTAGAACATGACCAAAACATGCTAGAATCAAGGGCCAAAACAACATGCAATGTGAGCTAGTGAACATGGATTACACTACAAGCATATGACGCATTCAAGAGACCAATAAACCAGCAAAATTCAAAGACATCACATGCCAAATAAAGCCCAAAAACACACTGAAACATGATCAATTCATGCAAGAATGTCATGCTCTTTTGATAGGCTATAAGAGGGGTTATTCTACACATGTAAGGGACACACCCAAGGTAACAAAACCAACTCTGGAAAGAGCCTAGATAGGCCCTAAAAGTCACTGAAAAGGGCCTAAAACAAGGCTTGGAGGTGTGCAAATGAGAGCTCCTTTGTAAGGCCAAAAATGCTAGTGAACAAGACAAGGAGGGAGAGGGTCACCCCTCTCTGATTTTGGCTCTCAAAAACACATGTTAACCACTAAAAATCTGCTGAATTTCAGTGGTTAAGAGGCCAAGCAAATTTCAACACAAAGGCCTTAGGGCATGGCTCAAAACAAGGAAAAATGAAGCACGCAAGGGGGTAGATGACCCCCAACAACAAAATGACCTTAAACAAACATCAAAAGGACCTCAAAAAAAGGCTTTTTTTAGTTGACAACAAAGCTCAAATATGCATGAAAATAAGGCTAAGAGATGGATCAAAATAAAGCTTAAAAGAGGGAAAAAGTGTGTTACCCTTGAAGCTCAGCAAGACAGCAACTTCTGGACCCAAAACCCAACTCCTTAACCTCTGAAAATGGTCTCCAAGAAGCTCCAAGCAATGTTGGAAGGGTTAGGCTATGAGGTGGTGTGCAAAGGTGCAAGAACAAGACCCTTTTGAACCCAAAATATAGAGATAAAGAGAGAGATATATTCTATGTCTTCCAAGAAGTTCTCCACCTGTGCCAAGGAAGAGGAGGGCCTCTCTTATAGAGATAAAAGGCCAAAGCTTCCTCAATAAGCTAAAAACCAAGGCTCAAGATCCTCCATACACGTGTATGGAGGATACAGTCTGTGCCTTCCAGCTGGCACACACTCACAGAGACAAGACTAGGGGAGGCAAGCCGACCAGTTCAGGTGGTCGGCCGACCAGTTCAAAAGGTTCAACTCAAAAAAAAGGTGGTCAGCCAGCCCATTTGATGGTCTCCACATTGAATGCAAGCTAGTAGTATGGTGGGAGACCAGTAAATGTGGCTCAAAAATCAAGGAGACCAACTTCTTGACAAGAAAACCGACTGGCGGGAGAAAAGTGGTCTCCAAGGAGAAAAGGTGATCTCCCACCCTTGTACCACCTCCCAAACAATGAAAACAAGGTCCATTCCAAAAATGAACCAAGACGGATGCAAAACGAGGGTTCGGGGGTCAAAACGCGCAGCCGGGTGCCCCGAAAACAGGGTGTTAAGCATCGAAAGTTGCGTGCGACCACAAAGGTGGTCTCTCGGGTCACAGTGTCCCTCCAGAGAGAGAAAGCAAGGTGTGTGCCAAAAACTGTGCCAAACGAAGAAAGTTAAGCGGTCCCGAACCGAGGCGCACGGCCGACGGCTCTGAAAATCAGAAACTAGTCTCCAAACGGGAAAAGTGGCCTACAACCACGAAAAGTAGCCTACGGCCACTAAGAGATGGTGTACGAGACCTCTCCCTCCCTTCGGGAAGAGAAAACAAAACCTGGTTCGCAAACCGAGGCAAAGCACAAAAGGGTCCCGAGGTCTGGGGGTAAGGCTCTCAGCTGAAACTCCGAAACCTTCGAACGAGCACAACAAGCACCATCACCGAGCGATCAATCGATGACGTCTGAGTCTTAAGGTCGGTCAAAAATGGGGTGTCTATAGGTTGCTGCAGTGTGGTTGACAACTAATGATATGTTTTGGCTTCGTATTGATTTGTTATGACTTGTTTCGGAAAATTAGTATTATATTCTGTCTTCTGATTGAAATATGCAATTTGCCTATGTGGTTTTGTACAATTACATCCCAGCACATGCATTTTCTATATAATCCAAGTGCCAGTTAATTTTTGGGTATTAGTTTCACTTCGTTCATGTTTCCTCTTGGAGAGTGGCCACTAAGTCCATGATTAGTGCTAGTAACTGCTCCACCATCTAAGTTAGGTGGCATGCAAGATTCAATGGTAGTTGATGACCCTTGTCATCTGATACTAAAATATCCACTGTGGACTTGTCATGTGTTCTCAATTGAGTGGAGCACCTGTTGACAGGATCTGGCAAAAGTAGGTGCAAACAGAAATTTAAAAAAAAAAATGAATCATAATTTAGCTTCAAATATAAGTCAACTTATAATAATAATAATAATAATAATAATAATAATAAAGCAATTTTCATTTTTATTATTATAAACTTGAAATGTATATTTTGTTTTCAATATAAATAAGTTGTGTATTGTGGTAAATGTAGGACAACAATTGTGTTTAAGTCATTACAATATTAAAAAATGGTATTTCAAATATTAAGAAGTTTACCGACATTTAATTTGTTGATTAAATTACTGCTTGTGAAAATGGTTCAGGTAAACGAAAAATTTACTATGATTTGGATTGAAGGAAATCTAAATATTAAGATTTCAATTATGACATGGTAAGTACTCAGCTGTAATGTTTGTAGCAGCCTAAAACTGTAGGCTTTTATTATCACTCTTGCGGTGAGTTGCCCCCTCCAATTATGGGTATGTGTTTTCCTTAAATATAACCTAAATGTTGGGGTTAAAAAAATAGCTTTTTCAACATCTATCTTTTGTTGAGCAGTGTCTGCCCTTCAGCTGAACATGATTAGGCATTTCTTAAGTTACGAAATTTGGTGTGTAATTGTTTGGACAAACTTGTGTTCATGAACCTGTCGACAGGTGGACCAGTGAAAGAATGACAGATAATGGACTGAAAGTGAAATATTATATGGGCAACATTAAGTTCAACCTGCTTTAAGCACATGCACACTTTCGCACTCGTAATCAGCTGACGATATAAATATTGCACTCAATCAAATGCAAAGAAACATATTCGAGTTTCTTGTTTTGTTTTGAAATCGGTTCCTAGTCATACATATACACGTATCGTACTATTAAAACAACATGTATCGTTGTTTCATACTTGGATTGTCCATGCAGTGGCTTGTACACGCAGGTCACTCGTGACAGGACTTTCAGGTCCTGACGTCAAGTGCATGTTCTTCATTGGAATCAGTATCCAAGTCCTACTTCTCAAGCATTTCAATCAGTTTGAATCAGTTCCCTGGTAACTTTAGTTTAATTGTTTACTTGAAATTGTTGTAACTTTTCTGTCCATTCATAATAAGCATGATTTATAGTCAAACTTGAGCATGAAATGTTATTTCTTGTAAGTTGTAGTACCAAACTTCTTTACGTGCTTTAAGTTGGGATTGATTAGGAATTCGTGTTATGTTATTGTTTGCAGTATAAAATTTGTACTTGTTTGTTCCTATCGACACGTGGATTAACCACAACATCACATGTGCCAAAGTCAATGTCAAAGTCCATCAGTTACACATATGAAAGGGGTTTAGTTTAACTGCATATGAGGGCTCACATGGTGCAGCAGTTACGAGAAAATGACATGGACTAACTAGGTGGATGGCAGAAAGGGTCATTGCCAAAATACAGAGTTTGACCTGTCGATGTGAAACCCAGAATGTGGAGGGACAGTTACTAACATAATAGTAAGGTGGTTCGATAGGAGAATTTCAGCAGTTTGTTGACCATATCAATTCTTGTCGACAGGTGGACACCTGTTGGTGCATTCTTGTCACTGCGATTTGTTTCTTTTGTGATTTTTTTTTTTTTTTTTTCTTTGTTTTGGAGAAAATTATGGCCTTCAAAAACAAAGACACAAAGAAAGACATCGCTCAGTCACATCGGATTTGTACAAATTCAAGTGTAACTGTTTTGATTTACTCATGGCATAAGGTTACATGAGCCCACCCAAACACGTACCCATAATTCCACTGATCGATAGAGTTGCTACATCCAACTTATGCACAATTTGGTAATTACTTACGAGCCATGATAAAAGCGAACAAACATTAGTACTGTCATTCGTTTGTTCCAGTCCTAAACATCCGAATTATGTATGCAATCAATATGCGTGGAAAATTAGTATTATCGCAGCTGCGACCTCAAAATTGCCACAAGAAGCTGATTAACTCATCTTTATATAGTACTTGTACTACAAACAAATTAGTGATCTATCTTTACATCATTGTTCCTAAACATCGGGAGGACTCATATTTACACCACTCTGCAAAACAATTACTACAAAAAAAGTGAATTGTGGTTGGCCATCCAAATTATTGTTGTACTGGTAGCCCATTCCCTATCACTGCTCTATTTGTTGTAATTGCAATCAGTCATGCACGAAAGATACTCGCCGATCTTTGAATTATTCATATCTATAAGGAAGTCAAGCAACAACTTACGACACACAGAAGGATGAAACTTTGTAAAGAAAGCAAAAAACAGAAATCAGGTACAATTACAGTTATAGGAAATGAAAGGATTTCTTTTACAATTGGAAATGAAACGATAGAATATACCTTGTGTGGATCGCTGGGTATATCAAGCCGCTGCATGTACTTGATCATAAGCATCCCACAGTCGAAAGTGCTACAAATGAAATGTAACATTAAATTTCTCATAAATATAAGTAGGTTCGTTAAATGAGTCATTCAGGAGTCAAATAAATGTGGCACAGGGTTTGTGGATTACTCGTCTAGTTGTTGTAATGGCCTTTTGTCTAACATGCACACGTCAAAGCTACGCACGTCTTGACCATATTCATTTTCAAACTGTAGTTACAGTAAGGCATGCATTGTTTGAACCTGTTGCAGAAGGAGACGGTTGGTTTATGTAAAGGATGTCACAGTTTGGAAGTAGTTTTGTCCAGCAGGACATACCAACATTTTTTCCACGTTAAGCTTGTTGTTGTCCAGTGTGGCAGATGCCAATGAGTCAAATAGGTACGCCCCACGGTCTACCATATCTATTTGTATGCACAACCAGTGTACTCCTCTATAATTGAAAGGCATGTAAATATGCACATAAACACAAGTGAAGACATTGTTTAGAGGGCATGCGAACATCTACTCACTTTCATATTTACATTGACATTCATATTAATGGGATCGACATTCATATTACCGACATTCATATTAAATCTACTCACTTTAATGGAATGGACATTCATATTACCTTCTCGCATGCATCAAGCACACCAGTATATCTGTCACGTCCAAAATACGATTTGACGATATTTTCATGATTCAAAGGTTGAGTATTTTTATTTAATATCAAAGTCTGCATGGTTAGTGTGTAAAGGTTATTCAGCCAAACATTTTTGAAAATGTCATCTACAATTCACAACCGACCTAAAACACTTACTGACAGATATACTGGAAAGAACCAGGCAGTATGCCTCCCATCTTTGTTTACTTGCCGTTGTCCGTTAGTCAATTGAACCACAACCAAGTTTATTGGCTGGAACATTGTAAGAGATAAGGCAACTTGAGAAATAAGGTTTGCAATTTGTTTAAATCTAATACGAAAGAATAATGTCCCTACAGGGAAATCTCCATCATGCACATATAGTGAAAAGAATATTTTCAGATAAACACTTACAGTGTCAGATAGCCACGCCCCTGGTTTAAGCATGTGCATGTCACATCGGGTAGCACATTCACATTGCATTCCATGAAGATTCATAGACCCGACAATATCCCTACAAGGAAGAAGTATCCATAGAAAATTGAACTTATTTGACAAATACTACGGAATAGGTTAATTGCAAGTAGTAAATTGAACTGTACCTTTTATTTTTTCTGTCGTCAAGTACATAGTCAACAAGTTTGTCTTCGTCCGCCGATAAAACCTCTATGCTCTCTAGTACCATCAACTCCTCCTATTAATATAAACAATGAACTAACTGAACACGGTTCACAAAATAAATTTATAATATACATAACACATCATTACGCATCCAAAATTAGTGAAGCGATGTCTAACCTCTAAACGGAATCGCTTGTCCAACTTGAGTAGTTTGGACAGGACTTTGTCCGAAATCTGTAAGACAATTGCACAATATTTGTTAGTGCAAACTTGCACTAAAATGACAACTATTAAAATACAACACAAATAATGGTTCAATTATGATGAATAATGTTGTCGCCATCAATTTGTAATGAAACATACGAAAGGTGAAATGATGTGGCGACTTGGGAATTTTTCTACAATAAGTCGAGTACTTATTTTGCTAATGTTGTATGAATGCATATCCCCTACGTTTATGGCTTCAACTCATCTTCCTCTTCCTCTTCATTTTCCTTTTCCTCTTCCCTTTCCTCTGCCTGTTACAATTCCTCCCGTTCCCAATGTTTGGGCAATCTTACTAGGAGAAGTATGCACTTTGTCTGCTTCTCCTCGTATTGAAGGCAAGGTTTGCAAATCATCAAAGGAAGATACACTCTCTTTAGCCACATTCTTGATGGCCAAAAACTAAACCGAAAGAGATTTGGTTTCTTTGCTTGCGTATGTTTCCTCCAAGGCAAGGCCACGGTTGTTGTGCGTGTCCCCAACTTCTTTGACGGTACGCAAATGTCCATCATGCATATCAATTATCTCATTTGACAACATTCCATTCACATTATTTTCCTTGTGATCCACCCCATGTAAATCTTGAAGACTACCCTCTATTGGGTTAACGTAATAATTAGGAAAGACCACGCCACTGTCATGCAACTCGACTCTGACACTAAGGTCGACACCATTTTCCTCCGTGCGAGGCAATTGTGCTATTTTCGATAAACCTTCCAGCACTTGCTGCATCATTTGCTTGATTTCAGGAATATGTGTCTGTTCATTAAACGGTTGTTTCCCAGACAATATAGTTGTAACCAGTTGGTTCAGTATTTTCATCAGTTCACCAATGCTGGAGGATATGTTAATGTTATAAATTCTTTCAGTCAACTCCACATAATCAGACAAAAACATACATTAACTTAGTACGATATTTCTTCTTCAAGTAACCCCCTTGAACTATGTCAAGCATGTGTACTGATTGCTTTTGCTTACCTTTGCATTGTCAACAACTTCTTTCCCTTGGAAATTTAACAATATCTCCCTTATTTCTGCATTGCTGTGAAGCACTTGCTTCATTCTTTCCTTCAGTTCACCAATGTCGGACTCAACATTGCTCATACAAACTTCATCAAACTCTGGTTTCTGTTTGTTACGAACATGGTATGTGTCGATTGTGTCATCATTGTCGTTGCTTTCCTCCATTGTGGTATTATGCTCCACCTAACATAGTTGTCAAATCGGGATTCGAATCATGAATAAAAATGGTATTGTACTGAATCGTGAATTGATCTGAACTGTGAATCGTAAAGTTTCGGTCAGCTTTCTTAAATTACATACAACATATATGTACACACTTACATATTAAATGTATCTAATAAAAATTAATTTCTTTGTTTGAAATGAACAAAAATATTGTTGTAAATAATGATCATCTAGTGTGGATAAAATCTTCACACTGGATCCTATGTTTACCACTTGACCTTGTCCCATTTAGATAAAGAAAGATAAACTTTCAATTACAAAGTAACTAACAATAAGTGAACGATAATGTTTTGACCTTTTTACAAGGTTAAAAAACTAAAATCTTCAAACTTTTTCAAAAATCTGACTTGATGGCTTAAAAAAATTCATTTCATAAATGTAAGTAGTACATAAAATTGAATATGCAAGGCCACAATATTGTAAAGAGGGGAAGTTCATATTTTTCCCGCAAAAATTTGACTATTTGAGAGTAAATAGGGAGGAAGAAAGTGAAAATATGGCATACGGTAATCCTAAATTCTGAAATACCTTAAAAAGGTCATGTTAGCCCTGGTTGAACAATAAAAAACCTAAACAGATAGCCAAACATCAATTTTACCAAGTCGAATGAATTGATGATTCACCAATTCGGCTCACCGATTCAGCTGCAATTCACAGCTTTTTTTTGTTCACACAACTTGTTCAAAACGATTTCCTACGAAATTGATTTGAATCATATGTTCGGAATCGCGAATCGTACGATCCCAATAACAGACCCACCTAATCATAGGAACATAAATGAAGTCTGTCATTGTTTGCATAACACATGTAGGGCAATGTTGTCAAATGTGCACAATGAATGGGTTAATTACCTCATGTTGCTTGAACATTTTCTTCCTTCCCATACGTCACTGCGTCTCCTGTATTTCGGCATCACCCCAATCATTTACCCGAGGGATGGAGTGCGTAATAGCCAACGTACTCTTACAGGGAGGCAAAAAACAATCCAAGTAAAATAGTTGCATTATAAGGGGGATAAGATAATTAGTTTGCATTTTCGAGCAAAATAATCTGTATTCCTTAAGAATGCAAAGTGAGGAAATTGAGATTTGAAAAAATTATTGATGCCATAAAAGCTTGCACTTGACAATGGTACGGTAGTTATGTTTTATATCTTTTTTTCCTGTGAACGAAGGACTTTATTGATACATACAACTTACAACACAATCATATCTATGTGTTTCTGTGTCTCAATGGCAAAATCACCATGCACCTTTCTGGTTAAAAAGATAAGCTCTTTCTAGTTAAAAAAATGTGGCTCATACATGTATTTCTGTTATTGTTATTCAATAACAGGTTACTTTGTATTTCGCAACGACTGTCAATTTATCAAACCATGTGGACAGCAATGGATGAAATATGGAATCAGCATGATACAAATAAACAACGGTCGATTATGTTACCATTAAAAGAAAAACACATCCAGTTGTCTCGCGCTGACCTTTCATCTTATACTTCCGAACACCTTTCACAAGGAATTGCAGTGTCAACTTTGCCCAATTACATATCTGCATACCGTTCACGTCCTTTACGGCATAAATGAACAACAGACTCAAGGCAGTCATTGTGGTAGAACACAACATGACCCCCAACATGTACAACGCAAATTTTTGCCAAAACTCGTCGTCTGCACCATCAGTCTTAGTCAGATAAAGTCTCAGCTGGTTCAAAGGAATGACTCCCTTAACAACTTCAACCTCTTCGTAGATATTGAGATATGTGCCTATTGAACCAGTCAACTGCACATCATCGCCTTCTGACCGTATACCCAATAAAACATGAACTTCCTCACAGGTGAGTCTGAGGTGACGCCCATGAACATTCAATGAACTAATGTCAGGATCGAAGTTCTGTACCAACCATTGGCACAAGTCGTGATCTATACGGGTACACTTTATCCCCAGGAGGCCACCGAACCCAATATCAGTGATTGCCTGCTTCTGTGCTTTGTTACACCAGTTAATGATATCAACAATTAACTTCAATGATATGCAGACTTGCATTTTACTCTGCAATCTTATTAACGTGAACATTAATACAAAAATAAAACCAACAATGTGTTGATAACAGGTCCTTCCCAAATGCAGTTACCAAAACATTAAGTACGTAATTACTTTTGCAGATTTTGTTGCACATGCAACTTCTTTGCCCAGTTCCTTGGCACTTGTCTTAGCCATGTCCTGAAACCTCTTCTTCTCATCACAGAGGAGTTCCTTCCACCTTTCCCCAATATCCTTTCTACTCTGTAAGTATTACACCAAAGTGACGCACATACAGGACAAATAACAACTAAAAGTCCAAAATAATTGTAACTATAAGTTGTATCACTCACAATGTGTGTGTATTTTGTGATATTTACATATGATTACACATAGTCGTATCACATAGTTTCGGACATGGACGTTTTTATTTCAATTATGTGCGAAATTGTTATTTGTATATACAATCATATGTAAATACCACAAAATGCACACATTGCGAGTGATACAACTTGTAGTGACAATTATTTTTGACTTCTAGTTGTTATTTGTCCTGTATGTGCGTCACTTTGGTGTAACACTTATAGAGCAGAAACGATATTAGGGAATAGTGGAAAAAACTCCCATGTGATGAGAAAAAGAGGTTTCAAGACAGGACTAAGGCAAGTGCCAAGGAACTGGGCAAAGAAGTTGTACGTGCATCGAAATCTGCAAAGGTAATTATGTACTTAATGTTTTGATAACTGCATTTGGAGAGGACCTCCTATCGACACATTGTTGGTTCTATTTTTGTATTAATGTTCACGTTAATAACATTGTAGAGTAAAATGCAAGTCTGCATATCATTGTGTCTTACAACAATGACCGTCTTAAGTCTGTCGTTCATTCATGTCATGAAGGACGTGAACGGTATGCAGGCATGTAATTGGGCAAAGTTGACACTGCAATTCCTTGTGAAAGGTGTTCGAAAGTATAAGATGAAAGGTCAGCGCGAGACAACTGGATGTGTTTTCCTTCTAATGGTAACATAATCGACCGTTATTTGTTTGTACCATACTGATTACATATTTCATCTATTGCTGTCCATATGGTTCAATAAATTGGCAGTCATTGCGAAATACAAAGTTACCTGTTATTGAACAACAGCAACAAAAATACTTGTACGGGCCACATTTTTTAACTAGAAAGAGCTTATCTTTTTAACCAGAAAGGTGCATGGGGCTTCTGCGATTGAGACACAGAAACACATAGATATGATTGTGTTGTAAGTTGTATGCATCAATAAAGTCCTTCGTTCACAGGAAAAAAAGGTATAAAACATAGCTACCGTACCATTGTCAAGTGCAAACTTCTATGGCATCAATAATTTTATCACATCACAATTTCCTCACTTTGCATTCTTAAGGAATACAGATTATTTTGTTCGAAAATGTAAACTAATTATCTTGTCCCCCTTATAATGCAACTATTTTACTTGGATCGTTTTTCGTATCCCTGTAAGAGTACATCGGCTACTACGCGCTCCATCCCTCGGCTAAATGATTGGGGTGATACTGAAATACGGGAGACGCAGCGACGTATGGGAAGGAAGCAAATGTTAGAGCAACATGAGGTAATCAACCCATTCGTTGTGCACGTTTGACAGCAATGCCCCACATGTGTTATGCAAACAATGACAGACTTCATTTGCATTCCTATGATTAGGTGGGTCTATTATTGGGATCGTACAATTCGCGATTCCGAACATATGATTCAAATCAATTCCGTAGGAAATCAATTTGAACAGGTTGTGTGAATCAAAAAAAAG